ATGTATCGGCTCACGAAAGGCGACGACTATATCTTACTGTTTGTCTACCTGGACGACCTGCTTTACATCGGCTCGACTGACGGCGTCACTACCTGGTTCGAAGGGGAGCTGCAACAAGATCTCACGCTCACGGCCTCGTCCACCGTCACGCAGTATCTCGGCCTCAATATTCAAGAAGAAGAAGACGCGATCTATCTCAACGCCGCGAAATACGCCGACACCATCGCCAAACGCTTCGGACTCTCCACGACCTCCATCTCCACGCCATACCGCTGCACCACCAGAAATCACAAGGAAGGCTCCGCTCTACTCAAAACCGCTGGCATACGCGACTACCAACGAAAACTAGGATGTCTGCTCTTCGCAGCCGTCACTTGCCGACCGGACCTCTCTTACTCCGCAAGCCAACTCGCTACCTACCTCAAAAAACCTGAAGCAGAGCACATGGCGGAGCTCGACCGCGCACTACACTACCTCGTCAGCACCCCGACAATCGGACCAACTTACTAAAAGACCGGAACCACGGCGCCTAAGCTAATCGGCTACGTCGACGCAGATCACGCCGGCGACTCAGACAACAGGCGCTCGCGCACCGGCTATATCTACCGACTCGAGCCTATCGGGCCGATCTCATGGCAGTCGAGCAAGCAGGAACTAATTGCTCTCTCCTCAGCTGAAGCAGAATATATTGCACTCTGCTCAGCCACCAAGGAAGGACTTTACCTTCGTGAACTGCTGGAAGAGGCGAAATTGGCTCAGTTACCCAGCTTCTCCTTGTTCTGCGACATCCTGTCAGCAATTCGCATAGCCAACAAAAATGGATTCGCGAACAGGACGAAGCATATCGCCCTGCGATATTTCTTCGTCAAAGACGAGATCGAGAAGGGCAGACTCGAGCTGTCTTACTGCCCCACGTCTGAGATGGCAGCTGATTACTTGACCAAGAAACTCGGAAAGCAGAAGTTCGAGTACTGCATGCTGCTGACTGGACAAGGCCACGTCACCAACAACGACACTCCAGAAGCGAAGGGGAGTGTTGGAAACAAGTAATTTAAGCGCCTCTGTCGTGTCGAAGCACTAAGTCGTAAACGAAGCGAAATACAGTGAAGCATCGGCGAGTCAACACTTGGAGGTTGAGAGATGAAGAAACCGCTGGAGGTTACGCGAAAGTCAAAGGTCAGCGACCTTTGACCTGACAAGTACAGCGCAACAGCAAGGACAAACAGCTGACTCATTATTGAGCAGTTGCCCGAGTCGTCACTGTATCGAACCACAACCGCAACAGTAAAACAGTTATTAACTGTGTCTCTTCATATTCCTTGTACTCTTATAAAACCTTGTATCTTCTTGTTTTAATGAATCTACTTTGCCCTCACATACCAGCGCAAGGTGGTTCACAGACTCATAATGAAACGCTTCCGCTATTACATTGTTCCTACTCAGAGTTTAGTCCTGCAAAGATCCTAAGGGATTTTCTCAGCCCAACAGGGGGCAGCATGACCGTGGTGAGTGGTGGGTGGGAAGCTCATGGTGCACGGTGGGGAGGGAAGGTCCCAGGGTGGCTGTTGCAGGGAGGAGAAGAGCAAGGGGGCAATGGTGGCGTTGAATGCTACTGCTTTTGAGACGTCTCAAAGGTTGAGAACAGCAAGCACATGATGAGTGGTGGGAAGGGCATGGTGCACATTGGGGAGGTCCCAGGGAGGCTGTTGCACGGAGAAGAGTCAGGGAGCATTGGTGGCGTTGAATGCAGCTGAGGCAGGCACTAGCATGACCTCCCAGTCCACCTGAGGAGAAAAATGGTCAGGATAGAAGGGAGGGAGGGATGGGGGAGGAGGGAAGGGGGAAAGAGAGAATGCGTGCTTTGAGTTGGTGGCATGGCGGGACGCTCACTCAGCAATTGCAGCGCTGAGAACGTCCTTCTTTCTGTGAGGGTGTGTGCGTGTGGGTTCGTGCGCGTGCGTGTGAATGTGTGTGCATGTGTGAGTGTGTGTGTGTGTGTGTGTGCATGTGTGTTCATGAATGTGCGTGTGCGTGTGTGAGTGAGTGAATATGTGTGTGTGCGTGTGCATGTGTTTGCACATGTGTGTGTGAATGTGTGTGTGTGCAGTGCATGTGCATGTGCATGTCCGTGAGAGCATGCAAGCGTGTGAGTGCATACATACATGAGCCAGTGAGTTTACCAAGGCAACAGACCGTCGTGCACACAAACATGCATGCAAACTCTAGCATGTTACTTCCTCAGGAGTAACAGGCATGTTCACTCACACTTGAGCCCCTCTTATCTCACCTGCACGCTTCATCTCACCTGCATGCCTCATCTCACCTGCACTTCTCACCTCACCTCACACATCGTCTCACCTGCATGCCCTCGGAAACAAGCGCAGTGGTGTGCAAGCCAGCAGCCATGGACAGCCCCAGCACCGACACCCACCCCACCTTGGCTGATCCTCTTGACAGCGGCGACAGGTGGTACCTGGGAGAGAAAGTGGGGGAGGGAGGAGGAAAGGGGGGAAATTGGGGAAGGAGGCTGAGTTCATTGTCATTCTCATTGCCACTCATTGCCATTCTCATTGCCATTCTCATTGCCATTCTCATTGCCATTCTCATTGTCATTCTCATTGCCATTCTCATTGCCATTCTCATTGCCATTCTCATTGCCATTCTCATTGTCATTCTCATTGCCATTCTCATTGCCACTCTCATTGCCACTCATTGCCTTTCGCATTCTTATTCGCATTCGCATTCTCATTCTCATTCTCATTCTCATTCTCATTCTCATTGCCATTCTCATGCCATTCTCATTCTCATTCTCACTGCCATTCTCATTGTCATTCTCATTGCCACTCATTGCCATTCTCATTCTTATTCGCATTCGCATTCTCATTCTCATTCTCATTGCCATTCTCATTGTCATTCTCATTCTCATTGCCATTCTCATTGTCATTCTCATTGTCATTCTCATTCTCATTCTCATTCTCATTCTCATTGCCATTCTCATTGTCATTCTCACTGCCATTCTCATTGTCATTCTCATTGCCACTCATTGCCATTCTCATTCTTATTCGCATTCGCATTCTCATTCTCATTCTCATTCTCGTTCTCATTGCCATTCTCATTGTCATTCTCATTGTCATTCTCATTGTCATTCTCACTGCCATTCTCATTGTCATTCTCATTGCCATTCTCATTGCCACTCTCATTGCCACTCATTGCCTTTCTCATTCTTATTCGCATTCGCATTCTCATTCTCATTCTCATTCTCATTGCCATTCTCATGCCATTCTCATTCTCATTCTCACTGCCATTCTCATTGTCATTCTCATTGCCACTCATTGCCATTCTCATTCTTATTCGCATTCGCATTCTCATTCTCATTCTCATTCTCATTGCCATTCTCATTGTCATTCTCATTGTCATTCTCATTCTCATTGCCATTCTCATTGTCATTCTCATTCTCATTCTCATTCTCATTGCCATTCTCATTGTCATTCTCACTGCCATTCTCATTGTCATTCTCATTGCCACTCATTGCCATTCTCATTCTTATTCGCATTCGCATTCTCATTCTCATTCTCATTCTCATTCTCATTGCCATTCTCATTGTCATTCTCATTGTCATTCTCATTGTCATTCTCATTGTCATTCTCATTGTCATTCTCATTGTCATTCTCATTGTCATTCTCATTGTCATTCTCATTGTCATTCTCACTGCCATTCTCATTGTCATTCTCATTGCCATTCTCATTGCCACTCTCATTGCCACTCATTGCCTTTCTCATTCTTATTCGCATTCGCATTCTCATTCTCATTCTCATTCTCATTGCCATTCTCATGCCATTCTCATTGTCATTCTCACTGCCATTCTCATTGTCATTCTCATTGCCACTCATTGCTATTCTCATTCTTATTCGCATTCGCATTCTCATTCTCATTCTCATTCTCATTCTCATTCTCATTGCCATTCTCATTGTCATTCTCATTGTCATTCTCATTGTCATTCTCATTGTCATTCTCATTGTCATTCTCATTGTCATTCTCATTGTCATTCTCATTGTCATTCTCATTGTCATCGTTACCACCGAGGCACACATTCCCATACGCACTGCATTGAGAGCACTCAACACGGTTGATCATCTGATCAGGTAGGAGCACCAAGGTGGTGAGCTGAGCAGCGTGTTGTGTAGATTGACTCAGATTAGGCTGATAAAGCCGGCAGGAGTAGGCGTGCCGCCCATGCATTCAAGTTGGGTGCACTGCATAAGCAGCTAGTAGGTATCACAAACACGAGGAGGGCGCTGTTTGTTCTGTCATTGAGTGTAGGACTAATTGAAGCCCGGCTAAAGTTGGATATATGGTATGAGGGTAGACACTCTTGGAAAACGTTAGTGAGCACATAAAAAAAAAAAAAAAAAAAACACGAGAATTCCCAAAAATGATCCATATAAAAGGTATCGTTTTTATATACAAGGTATACAACTCTAGATCTCTCGTATGGAGAGAAGTAAATAAATGAAGGGAAGTATGTCCATGTCAGGGTTCGCATTTCCCGGCCTTGATCTTGACTTGGTCCGGAATGCACACTCTGGTGGATTTGACGAGCTTATCGATGCAATCGTAGCCGTTGGTCTTCCTGTAGCACCCTTTGATTCCACGGAAGTACTTGACCTGCAGGCCAGTGCAGCGGTCGCCAGTCCCAACCACGTACGAGCGAGTCTTGGGGCACACTCCTTGCATGAAGCTGAACGAGCTCCCTATGCACGCCTGCACTTGCCGTGCAGTTGAGTGTGCGTGGGGAGGAGGGACAGAGGGTGGAGGGAGGGGGGAAGAGGGTGGAGGGAAGAGGGAAGAAGGATGCGAGTCAGGTGTGAACTGCAGGTGCGGACTGCAGGTGTGTTTGCAGTGTGATCTGCAGGTGTGAATTGGAGGCAACCAATGATTGCCATGAAAATGCATGGAACCGGCATGCTTCAGGTGGCAACCATAGGAACAATCAACAGGATTCATGAAAGCAAGTGGCAAAAGGAGAGGGCACGGACGACTGGGGAGAGGGTGAAGAAAGGGAGGAGAGAATGCAGCGGAGGATAGAATGAAGCAGGGGAGAGGGTAATGTGGACAAAGAAGAGAGCAGAGGGAGAGCAGTGGGAGAGCAGAGGGAGAGCAGTGGGAGAGCAGAGGGAGACCTCGAAGCCTGTGAGGCTGCCGACGTCAGTCTTGGGCACGAGGCGGCTGCACTTGATGCCGGGGTTGAGGCGGAAGAACTCGAGAGGGGAGAGCGGCGGGGAGGGCACGGAGCGGATCTGGTCGCACGTCTCCCCGGCCTGCACCAGATAGAACTGCGAGCACACCGGGATGAGCAGCGCCGTTGCACTCTCCGCCCGCCGCTCCACACACACCGCCTGGCTGCCCACCAGCTCCCCGCTGCCGGAGCAGTCCAGCCCGCGGTTGAGCGCCTGGAAGGCCGCTGCGCAGGGCTCATAGCAGTTGCCGATGAGGGAGAAGTATTTCGCTAGCGACTCGCATGTGTCGCCCTGGGGGGATGGGAGCGAGGAGGGGTGGGAGAGAGGCGGGGGGAAATGGGGGAGGAGAGTGGATGATGGGAGAGGAGGATGAAAGGAGACGTGGAATTGCAGTCCTGGGAAAAGGGCTGCTGGGCAGCGCTGGGGGGCGGGTTGGGCTCTGGGATCATGGGCAGGACAGCCGGTGGAGAGAGATATGGGCTGCCAGTGACTGGTATGAGAACGGCGAGAGCAGAGGACGAGAAGAGAGCAAGGAGGGTGGAAAGGAAACAGGAAAAGGAAGGGGAGAGCATTAGTATGAGGGTTGGTATGGGCTGAGAGACTGATAGAAGACGGTCCAGAAGAATAAAGAGGGGCATGGAGGAGGAGAGGTTTGAGATAGAATGCTGTGAGGACAGCAGGGCTGCTTGGAAGAGGTTAGGACACAGACGGCTGCAAGCTGCGGGCAGCAGCAGCAGTAGAGAGGACGGTGGGGGGGAAGGAGAGAGGGAGGGAGAGAGGGAGGGAGGGAGGGAGGGAGGGAGGGAGGGAGGGAGGGAGGGAGGGAGGGAGGGAGGGAGGGAGGGAGGGAGGAAGGGAGGGAGGGAGGGAGGGAGGGAGGGAGGGAGGGTGGGTGGGAGGGAGGGAGAAGAGGGAGAGGTGGGAGGGAAGGAGGGAGAGTGGGAGGGAGGGAGAAGAGGGAGAGGTGGGAGAGGAGGGAGAGAAGCGAGAGGAGAGAGAGGAGGGAGAGAGGGGAGAGAAGGGAGAGGAGGGAGAGTAGGGAGAGGAGTGAGAGTAGGGAGAGGAGGGAGAGGAGAGCGAGGAGGGGTAGAAGGGAGAGGAGGGAGAGGGGGAAGAGAGGGGGCCGACCTCTGACGTGGTGTAGTAGACGGAGCAGGGCGTGAGGTCGGCTGGCTGGACCACGTTCACCACCGTGCCGACAGCGAGAGGAGCGCTGCAGCTCAGACCCTGGTGAGGAAAAAGGGAGGGGAGTGGGGAAGGGAGGGCAGAGACGATGGGAAAGGGGAGGACAGAGGCAAGATGTGGTTGTTGGGTGGGGATCAGACTTGCAGAATGTGGGCGGAGCCTCACAGGAATGCACGGATCAGAAGAGCAGGGTCAGCAAGCAGCAGGAAGGCATGGGCCCACCACGATGCTCACGGGATTTTGTTGTTGCAGGTGGGCGAGAGTGAGGCCGTAGACGGGGTGGATGTCGGCACACGTGACACCCAACGACACCACCTTGTATGTGCTGCTGGAGTCGCCTGTGCAGTGCGGTGCAGAGTGGTGCAGATGGATGGATATACGGTGCAAATGGGAGAGGTGGGTGCACGCAGAATGGAGCAGGTGGGTGGGAATGGGCATGCGGGTGCGCAGGTGATTGGGGAGTGATCGTAATGATGGCGAGCTGTAAGGCGAGCATGGCAAAATGAGTGTCATGTGTGGCATGGCCTGAGTTTGGAGACGCTGTAAAGACGAGAAGGCCGTCTTTCGAGTATGCTTGATGGTAGCGTCGCACAAGAAAGGGTGGGATAAGGTGGATGTCGTGAAGAGAAGCATCTGGAGCGTAAGAAAGGAAAGCTATATGCATCTCACGAGAAGGTTACCTGGACCGCAGGAGAAGGTGCCATCAACAGTGGTGCCCTGCCTGAAGCCAGGAGGGCACACACACGAGTACGACCCCTTGCCATCATTCACACACGTGCCCACTGCACATGGATTGTGCACCGCTGCCCTGCACGCGTCCTCTGGGGAACACGACAAAGGATGAAAGACACAGGCAAGACGAGCATGCTATGAGGTGACTGAAAGAAGGAGGCTGAACAATTGAAGGTTTGTGTTGTGGTGCCGAGAGCACCATTACAGCAAAGCAATTGACGGGATGGAAATGTTGTGAGCACGGTTGTGACTGCATTGGGACAGGCAAGAGCGCTCACTGTAAGCACAGGGGAGGGCACTCACTGTAAGCACAGGGGAGGGCACTCACTGTAAGCACAGGGGAGGGCACTCACTGTAAGCACAGGGGAGGGCACTCACTGTAAGCACAGGGGAAAGTGCTCACTGTAAGCACAGGAGGGAGTGCACACGATAGCACAGGAGAGGGCGCTCACTGTAAGCACAGGGGAGAGCGCTCACTGTAAGCACAGGTGCGCGAGTTGTCCGGTTGAAGCGCCTCGACGAATCGCGGGTCGTTGCAGTCGCAGTGGTTGCTGGCCCCATCAGGCGTGGGCGTGCACGTGAAGTTGCCACAGGGGTTGAAGAGCGGCCCAAACACCCCACTGGTGGTGCCGTTGACGTTGCAGGGGTCCTTGGCAGCGCGCACCACCGGGTAGATCCCAGGCAGCATGTTGATCCCACACACGCCGTCGCCCCCCTGGATGTCCATCCGCATGTGCCCGCCGTCGCCCCACTCCGGGCCCCATGAGTTGCGGATGATCCAGAAGGGCGGCGCCATGTGCGGGAAGGTGGGGTCTGAGCCGGTGAGGCGATAGCCCACCAGCAGCACCACGTGGTTCAAGTTGTACGTGAAGCACGAGGGGTCCGCGTACTTGGATAGCTGGGGGAGAGACGGGTGGAAGGGATTTGGGCGCGCATGGTAATGGAATGAGTTGTTAGAAACATTTCATAAGTAGCACGACGTGGTTAAGGTTGTGGGAGAAGCACGATTGGTGTGGGTGTGTACGTGAGTGAGTGAGTGAGTGAGTGCGCATGCGCGTTCGCGTTCGCGTGCGCGTTCGCGTGCGCGTGCGTGTGCGTGCACGTGCGTGTATGTGCGTGTGTGTGTGTGGGGGTGGGTGGGTGAACTCACCCCATCATAGTCGAGGAAAGAGGGGACGGTGGCCTGCACATGCACCACCACGGGCTGTCGCTGCACGGCCAGCAGCAGCCCAAACCAGCCGTGGAATGACGTGCGCTCAAACCCGTTCACTCTAAACGCCCCCCTTGATGGCTTGCTCTACCATGGGGGCAGGGGAAGAGAAGTAGGGGAGGAAGGGTAGGGGAGGAGAAGTAATGAAGGAGGGAAAGGTGGGAGGGGAAGGGGAGGAGGGATAGGGGAGCAAGGGTATGAGAGGGGACATGTGGGAGGTGGAGTAGGAAGGTTGTCAGAATCCTAGCCATTACACCACGGGGATAAAAGGGCTTGTTAACTAGGGGGTCAGTGCGTTTATAACCCCCCAAGTTAGCAAGCCTGTAACCTTTCTTTATGATCAATCGGGCATCTCCAGTACAGATCTTATGACACCCCCATCTCACAAGAATGCCATAGGACACGGCACAATAGAAGCGCCAACATGTGCGCACATGGGGACTCGAACCCGAAACATTTGCTCTGATACCATGTGAGAATCTCAGTCACTGGACCACTGGAAAAAAATGGCTCGTTAAATAGCGGGTCAGTGCGCCCATAACCCCCCAGGCCAGGCTAGCGAGCCTGTAACCTTTCCATATGATCAATCGGGCATCCCCAGTGCAAGTCTAGTGACAAAGAGGACATGACAACATGAAACGGGGGTTGTGCGATGCAACAAAAGCCACGCATAGACCATGTCAGAACGCATATCAAGGAAAAGTACTCGATGAGTTTGAAGTACCGGACAGTGGAACAACCACCTAATGTGGGCGAAAAGGTTCAGCTGGAAAATCAACCACGTGAACCCAAGCGCATGTTGATGCCTTCAAATGGAAAAAAATGATGTAGAAGTAAGCAGAAAGGGGCCAAGAAAGCGTCGCCACATTAGGCTGCTTAAAAAAAAAAAAAAAAAAAAATGTAACAAGAGTTGCCCACTGTTCCAGGGGTGTGGCCTTTGCCGCAGGAGATCCCAAGCGCTTGTGCGAGCAGAGAAAAGATGGGCATGCTACAGAGCGGGCTCTGGCTGCTGCTCTTCGTGGCCCCGCCCCCGCTCACCACCACCCCGGTCCCGCCGTCCTCCGTGAGTCCCACTTTGCTCTTGGCGTTGAGAGTGACGAGGTACTGGAAGGCCTGGGAGGGCGAGTTGCCCTGCGAGCATGAGGCGCCGAGGGCGCTGCGCAGCTGGGTGACGGAGAGGTGTGGCACAACAGTGAGGTTGGAGAGAATGCCATATGCCATTTCTATGCTGCCCACCACCGCGTACGCCCAGCAGTCACCTGAAAGAGAGGAAGGGGGGAAGAGGTAGGATGGGAGAGGATGATGAAATATGAAGCTAAAGTGGATATTTATGCTGCCCACGACTGTGTATGCCCCGCAGCTAGCTGGCATGGGAAATCGGGAGGATGCAGCAAGAGGGAAGTGGGAGGGGAGAGGGGAAAGCAGGAAGGGATAATGGGCATGGCAGGAAGGGAGAGGCCACGCAAGCCACAAATGCCACACAACCCTCTTGTCACCAGAAAGCATTTTAACAGTGCGTGCCCTCTCATTCCTTTGCGCCCCCTTTCAACCAAGTAAGAAAGTAACTCATGCTATTCCATCCCATCAAATTTCATCCCATCCCAACCCATTCCAGCCCAGCCCAGCCCATCCCCTCCCTTCTCATCCCCTCCCCTCCCCTCCCATCCCATCCCTTCCACTTCCCTTCCCCCGCCACCCGCATGCCCTCACCGCAGGCGCCTTGGTTCTGGACAGGCCAAGAAAGCCCCTGGTCGGTCCAGGAGAACGCCTGGCTCACAACCCACACCTCCTCCTCCTTGCCGCTTCCCCCTTCCGCTCCTGCTGTACCTGCTGGCAGCACTGCTTGCACGCCCGCACTGGCGTAGCGGAAAAACAGGTTCGCCCCCACTGGTGCCAGCGATGCCTCGCTGAACTGGAACCCAAACTGCTGGCCTGAGAGGGGGAGTCGACAAGGGAGGGCACGGTTGGTTGGGGTAGGGTAGGGCAGGGTAGGTTAGGCTGGGGTTTAGGTATTGGGAGTGGAAGACGCATGGGGAGTGGGAAGGAAGTTAATGGGTCAAGTGGCAATGAGTGCGATGGGGAGGATAAGGAGGCAGATGGGAGGATGTGTTGAATGAAGATTGGGAGGCGGACCTTGGGAGGGAACAGGGCGAGGCCTAGAGGGAATATTGAGGGGAGGACTTGAGGGACGTTTGGGGGGGAGGGGCAGGGAAGGGCTGGTGGGGGTGCAAGATTGTGGGCGGCCTTGTGGGAGGATTGAGGGGACGGTGGAGAATTGGGGACAAAAGAACGAAGGGTGGCAAGAAGAGACCCAAGCAACAAAAGCAGAAACAGAAAAAGGTGCGAATTCAGGCCAAGTCAATCATACCTGTAAGAGTGGCTGATTCGGGAAGGCCTGAGCAGACAACGGGAGATAGAAACAGACAGCAAGATTTATAAGAAGATGTAACAAGCAAAGCAAACGTAACATATAAATGTGAACAACGGTAGGGTGTGGTTTAGGGGCGAGTTTGAGTGGGACGATACAAATGGAGGGAGGGGATGGCAGCAGCTACAGGCGTTTGTGTTGAACTGTCAGTCAGTCAACCTCACCACCAAGGATGGAGGAATGAACCAACACCAAAGAGGCAATATAACTCACCGACAACAAGTCCGAATCGCACGACAATAGACAACAGTACGGGAAGAAGAACAGTCCGAAGCGATAAGCACGCGGGAGTAGAGGAGAACGGAGGGGGTGGCAGCAGGGAGCAGCATTGAGCAGCGGTAAGGACCTGTGGTGATGTTCCACTCAAGGATGGAGTGCTGCTGAGGGGAGTCAGAGGAGGAAGCAGTGAAGCCCATGAGGAACGATGCCTCGGCTGCACTGGGCTGCAGGAACTCGCACAGCGACACCTGCATCGCCAGCACTGCCTTGCTCGGTCGAGGGGACCCCCTGGCCGACAGAAACACCCGCAGCCACCCCGTGCCGCCGCCGCTGCTGTTGCTGCTGCCATAGGTAGCGCTGCCACTAGCAGCACCGCCAGAGGAGGAAGGAGAGGGTTCGAAGACGACCCAGGCTTGCTTTGGCTTTCCGTCGTTGAGAGTGAAGGGCGCTTTGGCAGTTGCGATGGAAGAGGTGTTGCCCCTCACACTCACTCCCACGTGGTTGTTGTCTGGGTCGTTGGCATCAGTGCTCTTAGAAGTGTCAAACTCCACGGCTATGCTGCGCTCATCCATGCCAGAATACCCCAAGCTGCCGCCCCCACCACTGCCGTCACTGTTGCCACTGCTACCGCCCGTAGCAGCGTCGCTGGCTGCAATCACAAACGCAAAACCATCCCCCGCGTCACCTGCCGCTGTGGCTGCTGCCCTGCTGGCGGTGGCTGGTTTGAGAATGGAGAAGGAGAAATAGACGGTGAAGGCCAAGGGGCGGCCGCAGGCACCGGCCTTGAGTGCGAAGGAGAAGAGTGGGATGGGCAGTTGGAGGAAGGCTGCACCCCACTTGTTCAGATGAGAGGCTGTGAGTGTGATGCGCCCGTCGTTTGCCACTGAAGCCCCCCCTTTCACTGCTGTCTGTGCTGCTGTCGGCCGCACACTTAATGGGTCTTCGCCTGCAGATGAGGGACGGGGCGCGGTTAGGCAACAGGGGAGAGGGAAATGCTCTGATGGGGAGAGAATTCCATGAGGAGGCGTCGCAACAGGAGAGCATGATAAGAGATGGCTTTTGACGCACCTCAAACGTAGGGCCTTGGGATCTCTGAGGCACACCCACAAGCCAGCCTTGTGGGTTCAAACCTGAGCAGGAAGACTCTAGAACCGTAGTCGTGGCCTCCCCACAGCACAGCACGCATTGTCAGGTCAGAGTACTATCCCTCTTCCTCTTGTATCCTGCATGTATCCTTTATTAGGGTTTAGGGTTCTCCAACCCAATAAGTCAAGAACCCAACCATCTCCTCGTTACCTTGAGAGCTTTATATTATCCAATCGCATTTCTTTCTCCTTTTCACACACGCACACCATCCATCCACACAGCCCTAACAGACCACACCATCCTCATTCCCCTCATCCACTATCCATATCCCCCACCTCCCCCCAACCCCACTCACTGCCTTCAGCGATGCAGCTTCCAGGAAACTCCCCATTGACAAACCCAGACTCGCAGTCACACGTGGGCACTCTGCTGGGGCCCTCCAGGTAGCACACGCCATGGCCGTCGCACGGGGGATCGGCAGCACTCACGCCGCAGAAGGCAGCACAGAGCTCCTCCGGCCGCTGCACCGCTGCATCCGCAGCAGAGGGCGTGGCTGGGGTAGGGCAGGAGAAGCCTTGGGTAGGGGTTTGGAGGCAGTTGAAGCGAAAGGAGATGGAGCCTTGGGAGCAGTCAGGTGGGGAGGAGAAGCCTGAGGAGAAATAGTTGAGATCGAGATTGTAGGAGGTGATTGTTGGTGGGATGGGCTGCAGTACAGGGCCCGTCAGCTGGTTGTTGCGCAGGTTGCTGCGACCGGGGTGGGAGGATGGGAAAAAAGGGGGAGGAAAACGTATGAGGGGGGGGGGGGGGGGGGGGGGCAAGAGATGATTATGGGAGAGGGACGGGAATACGGAGAAAAGAGAAGGGGAGGTTGAGCAAAAGGGACATCTGATGATGCGATGCCTGCACTGAGGGCTTGGCTAATGGATGGGGATGCAAGGAGGCCAGTGGGAGATGGTGAGGAGAGTGAGGACATACAGGAGGGTGAGACGGACAAGGCCTGTGAGAAGAGTGGGGATGGTTCCATGCAGACGGTTGTTGCTCAGGTCACTGCAGGGAGAGAGAAGATTGTCGAGAGCTAAAATAATGGTCAATCCGAAAGTTCGTTACAAACAGTCCTCTATCCTCGCATCACATCAAAATGATTGTGATGCATTTGCTCTATTCGAGCTGTTGCTCGTGCAGTTGCTGGGATGACTCAGACATACTGAAAGGGCTATAGGTTCCGTCCTGGGAAGTATGAGTGTGGTGCTTTCAACATGGTATCAGACCGATGTGGTATTCAAGCCTCGGTGTGCACTGTTTTTTATGGTCATATGTTTTTTGAGAATTTGAGAAAACCGGTTTCGGCTTATAGCCTTCCTCAGACCACAAAATGAAAATGAAGCAAACTAGAGCTAATATACTACTCCCAAGGGCTCCACGCGAGGCATTCCTTCGCTGGGCCAGGGAGAAGCTGTACTGTAGGGCTGTAACAAACACTACACTACACTAACTCTTATGAGCAGAAACTAAATAATTTCCAACTCTTTTAGGCAATTTCCAAGCAACGATAGCTCTCCGTGTAGAAAACACACCGTGTGACATTGTAGCGAGTTGATTTTTGAGTCGACTCAAAATGCCCCCCCAAGCGAGAACGGTCAACCAGCGGGTTGAGCAGCAGTTTCAGGACAAGGGGGCCACGGGTTGGAGAGTTTTGTAAAGCAGATGCGCGTTGGAGTAGTTCCCCACGATCAGAAAAAGAGACTGACTTAAAAATCGGAAGAAGGAATTTCTCCGGGTAACCGCGAGCCCGTAAACGGGTAAAGAAAAGAGCGCGAGAGTGGAGGAAGTCAGAGCGTGAGGATGATCGCAGTAAAAAGCGTTGTAGCTCGTTGCGGATGAAACCAAGCTTAGTAGCTCGGGTGTAATAAGACTTAAACGGAAGGTATAAGTAGCGGTTCATCGGCTTCTGAAACAGCTTCAGATCCAGTGTGCCAGAAGATGAGAACCTCTCCCCCTTAAAAACCGTTAAGTCGAGAAAGTCCATAGTCTGTTCTGAAATGACCCAGGTAAGACGAATGGAAGGACGTAAGGTGTCGAACCACTTCTGAAAAATGTCAAACTCCTCCCGCGTCCCTTCCCACATGACCAAACCGTCATCAATGAAGCGACGGTGTAAGGCGGGAAAAACGTGCAGTGAGGAGTGCAGTTGAATGTCCAGGTAGCTTAGAAAAAGGACCGCGAAGCAAACAGCTACAGAGGTACCCATGGCTGTGCCCTGAACTTGACGAAAGAAACGGCCGTTGAAAGACACAAAGCTGTTGAACATCACCCATCTCAAAAGGCGGATGATAACAGGTGCAAGCGGATGACGTTCTTTCCGAAGAAAATAATCGACGGCGTCAATACCGTCCCAAAGAGGAATTGACGGATAGAGAGATTCAACGTCATATGACGCGAGCAGTATATTAGAAGAAAAGCTCCATTTTTCCAGCTCCAGAATAAGGCTTTTAGAGTCCTTGAAGTAAGTAGACTGCTTTAGCACCAGAGGCCGGAGGACGGAGTCAAGCCATTTAGAGGCATTAGTGGTAATCCATGAATGACAGGCCGCAATAGGCCGACCGGCAGGAATCTTCTTGTGTATTTTAAGAAGAACGTAGAACGCAGGGACCTTCCAGCCGGATTTTGGTTTATGGAAAAAGGAGTCCCAAATCCGAGCTTTAATAAGGGGATTCCACTCAGCTCGAATAGAATGAAGCTCGCCAAGGATTTCCGAGATAGGAACCTCTGAATACTCCTTGTAGACTTTAGGATCAAGCAGGTGTTTCAAGCATTTGTCTTGATAAAAATCCCTGCTCATCACCGTTAGTCCAAGGTTCTTATCAGCTGGTTTAAAAATGAGATTCAGATCCCTTGCAAGGCGTCGGAGTGTCGGAATGATATTATTCGACTTGCGGGTGAGTGTAGAGAAAGATTGACCAGAGATTTCTTTAATGGCTGCTTCTTTGAAAACCTCCAGAGCCGTCTCAATTTCGGGAGAGGCCAGCGGAGGAGACCAATCGACTCGTTTAGGTAGTTTGTACCCTGAGTAACCAAGAGAATCAGCTCCATTAAAAAGAAACATGGTACGAACACTCCTGAAAAAGGATGACAATTCCGCTTCGAAGCTAGCGACACTACGAATCACAGGGACAGGTATGTACTTAAGACCAAGACTCAGTAAATTCAGTTCTTTCGGTGAAAACGAATGGTTGCTGTAGTTGTGAAGACCGCGGTTGGTAACACGACATTGCAGCTGATACTCGGTCTGTCTGCCGAAGAGGATCAGTGCATATGCATGAACATCACCGACTAACACGTCTGTGTTCTTCCGCGGCCTCCACCTCCCCCGTTTTTTGAAGCAGATCTCTTCGCAGGAGGACCAGCGGCGTTGCGACCAGCGGTCTTAGCGTAAGAACGGCCGACGGTCTTAACAGCAGCCTGTTCAGCATCATCAGTGTGCTTCTTGAGGTGGGTATAACCCTTTCCAGCATCATCCTGCTTCGGCTTCTTGGCGTCATTAGAGTTGCGGGAACCGTTTCCGTTTTTCGGAGTGGAAGTTTTCTTCCCCTTAGCCCCTGTCTTCCTGATAATAACACCGGATTTGTTAGTCTTGGATTTGGAATGAGCAGAAACCTTAGCATTAAAGCCGTTGCCCTTTGCGCCGTTGCTGTTCTTCCTCTTGGCAGGAGACTTAGAGGAGGAGGACTGCTTCAGGATTTTTTCCGCTTCTTGGCGAGCAATCTCCCGAACGGTAGGGTCAACAGGTAAGCTTTCTGCTTCAGCAACCGCAGCTGCTTTCTTAACAGTGATCTCGTCCTTTTTCTGCTTCAGGAGAATTTCAGCCATGTTAGTCTCCATGTAGATAACAGAAACCTCATGCTTAAACTCCAGCAAGACCCTGTTTTTAAAGAAATCAAGACCGTCGATGAGCTTAGAATTCCTCAAGCCGAGATCAGACTTCTTATTAAGGTCGATGAAGTTGTCGATGTGGTGTCGTAGGGACAGGTGGAGGGAGCAGGCGTCGCTCAAAGCTTTATTAACAGCTTTCTTCTTCATGGAGATCATAATATCCTGAGCATTCTGGCAGTAAGCCATCCGAGCCGCTTCCAGGTTCTTATCAGCTTCCTGACGAAGATCTTCGACATTGCAGACGAAGTTAAAAGGCTTGGTCCAGATGGAGTGCGGGATTATCCCGTTTTTCTTCTGCTCTTCCAAAAAAGGAAGTTGCTGAAGCAGCGTCCGATATTTGCCAAAGTGCTTTTTGAAATCACTGACGGCTTGCTTCTTCTGCGTGTTCAGATACGTCGGAGTAGCCTGCTTTTCCAAAAAGGATTTGTCAAGTTCTCCGAAAAAATCAAGAGCATCAGACATGATAGTGTCATTGACGTCGTCGATGATCAAACAGGTGTGCACCGCTTCTTGTCCAGGAACCTTAGCCGTGGTAGCAGGAGCAGCCATGGTAGCAGGTATAATGCCTGGAGCAGTAGTAGTTCCAGCTGGAGTAGCTTCTGAGGTAGCGAGAGCTCTCCTCTTGCTGGGTCTGGGTGCTGAAGGAACTTCGAATGTGAAGTCCTTCGATGCGACCGGCTCTTTATCCTTGTGAGAACTCTTATTGGTGGAGTTCGCTGGTTTACGCGAAGTTCCCTGAGTCCTTGGAGTTTCAGAGGCGCGGTCAACATTGGTATTGGATGTTTTTGTTGCATTGAACTTGTAGTCGGCCATCGTAGAAGAATCTTTGATAAGTCCGATGGAACCCCAGACGGGAGCCATAGTCTTTACGTGGCAGCAACTAGGTTCAATCCTTGTAAACAATTGTTGTTAGTAAAAAGTTTGCTTCTTTTCTCTTGTGGAGAAAATTTCGGCGGTAACCGGTTTCGGCTTATAGCCTTCCTCAGACCACAAAATGAAAATGAAGCAAACTAGAGCTAATATACTACTCCCAAGAGCTCCACGCGAGGCATTCCTTCGCTGGGCCAGGGAGAAGCTGTATTGTAGGGTTGTAACAAACACTACACTACACTAACTCTTATGAGCAAAAAACTAGATAATTTCCAACTCTTTTAGGCAACTTTCAAGCGACGATAGCTCTCTGTGTAGAAAACACACCGTGTGACATTGTAGCGAGTTGATTTTTGAGTCGACTAAAAAATGACCAGGATCATGTGTCCGGCCATCTCAGATTCGCATGTGTGGTCCATGCATACTCTCACGCGTTTCACTTGCCAGTGCCGGCAACCGTTGCTTTTGAAATCAATAATGACAATAAATAATGAAATCGCATACAAGCGAACAGAAAGCGCATCCACTCACCTCCCATAGAATCCCTCGGTCGGCACTCCTGCTCTCCACCGTACCCAATCTGTCCTGCAGACCCTCCACCCGAGTCCTCAGTCCCAACAAGCCCGCCTTCCATTCCGCCTCAGCCTGCTTCCCATCGGAAGCACCGCGATTGGCAATGAGTGCGCCACCGCCCGCAGCAGCATGCTCCATCTCCTCCGCCTTCCCCGTCTCCTCCAGCTTCCGCCTCTTCCCCTCGGGCGTCTCCGCTCCTCCGTGTCCCCCCGCGCTTCCCCCGGCTTGGCTGCGCTCCGCGCGTACCTTCTCCCGTGCGCCCTTCCCCTCCGCCACCGCCAGCTCCACGTCGTTCATCCGCGCCTCAGCGTGCGCGGCCGTCGTGCGCACGTACGCCACCTCCGCCGCCTGGCGCTCCGCCGCAGCCTTCATCAGCGCAATCTCCGCCTTCAGCGCGCTCGCCGCGCCGGCCGCCTCGCTCCGCACTGTCTCCGCCTGCAGCTTCAAACCCTCCGCCGTAGACGCAAGCTCGCTTCTTAATATCTTTATGAAGTCTCCCGTCATAAGGTTCTCAAGCACGGGAGTAAAATCTTTCTGATAGCAGGGCTCCGCCGGGAGCTCATCTCCTATCTGCTTGCCTTTTGCCGTCTCCCCGTGGCTGCCCGTCTCCAACGCCCCTTTCGCCGCTGCGCCCTTCGCTGCGCCCGTCGCTTCTGTGCGCATTGCCTCTGCGCCCTCTGCTTCTGCGCCCATTGCGTTTGCGCCCTTCGCCTCTAGAACATTCGCTTCAGCGCCCTTCGCGTCTGCGACCTGCGCCACCGCGCGTCGCAGTTCGTCAACTTTGCTCTTGAGAGCAGCCATGGCCTCCTCCTGCTGCGCCAGCTTCGCCGCTAACTGCTCTACTCGCGCCTCCATTCCTCCTGCTGCCTCACTCACCGTCTCTCCGTCTGACATGGCTCCCGTTATTGCCCGTTGCAATTGCGACCGTACGAACGTCGAATCACTAAGGGAAGCGCTAGGTGTCGGAGTGGTTCAAATCAAGAGTGGGAAGATGGGACGATGGGTGAGGCCCATTTTTCTCCCTCTTGGCTTTGGCTGCTTTTCTTTGTCGGACCACCACCACCGTCCTGATTTGCACGGGTGCGGGTAGGGGAACGGCGAAGGTAAAAACCGCTCTACATTGCACTACATCGTCTTCAACTGCTTTTACCGTAGAGGAAGCTAACTCTCGTGACCCTCCAAGAAAGCTGACTCGGTGGAGGAACCTTCTAGGGATCGCGTCTCCGTTTTGGCAGAGGGTCCGCTAAAAATATGCGTTTTGAAAGAGAACAGTGCAATGTAAGAAGGGTATGAGGGAAAATTGGAGATACCAAGTGAGCAACAACATAAGATTGGAGGAAATCGAAAACAAATGCCAACGGTAATACAAGGGAAATGCAATGCATGGAGGCTTGGGAATGTATATCAGCAGTAGTAATGTACTGCATGTAAACACATTTTCTTTGTGTAAATAATATAATGTAGTCTAACAGCCTACAATTTAACCTGTTATTATCATGTCTAGCCTACCCTCCCGTTTGTCACACAAAAAATGAGGCGTCAACCATATGACTACTAGAGTGGCCCTGGGGTCACAACCATTCCTGGGAAAGTGTCCCGAATAAACCCTTCTACATCTTCTGCTTCTACTGCAATCTCCTGGAGGCACGGAAGGCCCTTGAGCCAGTTAACCCCACTTGCAGTTATCTTAGCATCCCACATTCCCAGCTTCTCCAAGCGTTTCAAGTTCCTCAGGTACTTCATGCCAGAGTCAGTCACTCCGGGAGGCAAAATGAGGTAAGTCAGTGAGGTGAGGCCCTTGAGATGCAGCAGCCCATCCTCCCTCACTCCGCCGTCATGCAGTGTAAGATCCTGTAACGCTGTCAGCTTGCACACATGCACCATACTGGCGGATGTAACCGACACACACCCACCAAGGCGAAGCGCGTTGAGTGCAGTCAGCCCTTCGAGCCTAGCTATTCCAGCATCTGTGACCTTGCTGTTTTCAAGAGAAAGCACGCGTAGGCTCGTCACGCGGTCAATACCCTCAAGGGCAGCATCCGTTGTGCATGGGCCCGAGAGATCCAGATGCACGAGCGCTGGCAGGGAGTAGAGCTGCCGCACCCCCACGGCGGTGAAGCCGGAGGAGTTTTCGAGGTTGACGATTAAGAGCTGGCGGAACGAGGCGAGGAGAGTGAGAGCTGCGTCTGTGAGGCAGGAGATGCCGCGAGGTCCATTTCATCCTGCTGCGGTGCTGTTCTGGCCCAGAGCGTGAGGAGTAACTGCAGCGGAAGGATGGGTACGAGAGGGACGAGAGGGAATGAGAGGGAATGAGAGGGTCGAGAGGGACGAGAGGGACGAGATGGACAAGCTCCGGAGCTATGTGTGTACCACCAGGCATTCAACATGCTGCTACGCATGCTCCCACGTGCCATGTCCCCACCCGTGCACATGCATCTTCTCGTGCGTGACCAATAACCAGTCCCATTGACCAACCATCTCAGGAACAGTTTTGTTCCTGAAATACATGCGACATACATGCACTCTCTCATGCATGCGATGGGAGCACCTGTTCCTGGAAAACCAAACAACAAAATAAATGCGAAAGTCATGCACTCACCTCCCACACCCGCCCTCCTTTGCCATTACTCTTCTCCTGCTTCACCACTCTGCACCTTAGGCCATCCACCACCGCTCTCAGTCCCGACAGGGCAGACTTCATTCCTCCGCCATCCTGTTTTCCATCGGAACCGTCGCGATCGGCGATAAGTGCGCAACCACCCGCAGCAGCAAGCGCCAAACCCTCCGCCTTCACTGCCTCATCCCGCTTTCGCTTCTTCCCCTCGGGCACCTCCGCTCCCCCAGCCTGGTTGCGCTCCGCGCGCTCCTTCTCCCGCGCGCTCTTCCCCTCCGCCACCGCCAGTTCCACGTCGTTCATCCGCGCCTCCGTGTGCGCCGCCGTCGCGCGCACGTACGCCACTTCCGCCGCCTGCCGCTCCGCCGCAGCCCTCATCCGCGCAATCTCCGCCTTCAGCGCACCCACCGCGTCTGCCGCCTCCCTCCGCACCGCCTCCACCTGCTCCTTCATCCCCTCGAACTCCGAATCATACTCACTCCTTACTCTATCCACGTGCTCCTCTATGTACCTGTCCAGAAACGGGATACGATTGGTCGGCTCGGAAGGATGCGCCGCGGGGAGGGTGTCCCCTGCTTTCCCTGCCTTCCCCGCATTCCCTGCCGCTGCACTCTCCGCCCCGTCCTTTCCCTTCACCGTCTCCCCCTGCCTTTCCGTCGCCAACGCCTCTTTCGCCGCTGCGCCCTTCGCCGCTTCGACCTTCGCCATCGTGCGTTTCATTTCGTCAACTTCCTTCTTGAGAGCAGCCATGGCCGCCTCCTTCTGCGCCAGCTTCGCCGCTAACTGCTCTATTCGCGCCACCATCCCTCCTCCCGTCTCCGTCAGCATCCCACCCGCGACCTCCCCCGGTCGCAGCCTCACAGGCACACCGTTCACCATCCGCACCATGCCTCCCGCCATCGCCATTAGCAATCGTGCCCGGACGAATGTGGGGCTAGAAAGACCAAGTACTGTCACGTGGTACTACTGGTGGGGCAAGTACCAGGGGCGTCGGCTCTTTGAAATTGGGAAGATGGGATGTTGGGGTTGGCTTGTGTGCCTTCTCCCAAGCTAGTGTTGAACGATGTTAGTTCAGGCATGAGCGTTTTACATGTCAAATGCTGCTCTCTGGATGATGCGATCGTTCAAGTTCGTGCTGAACTTCTTTGACGTTGGATTGTTTCGTTGAGGTCGAAAAAAACTGGGAGGCGGCATGTTGCACCGTCGTGTCACAACAAGCTCTGCTTGCATTGCAGCCCCGCAAGTTTTATTCCCATGATCCCATCTCCGTCACGATCTCAATTTGTCGTGAAGCACAATCACGGACGGAGGCCGTTGCGTTGCGATGCGAACGCAAAATGCAGCGGCATTTTCAAATGTGCGATGCGTCTCGAACAAACATGAAAGCCGCACTGCTATGGATCATGCTTGTTTTGGGGTTGTGTTCACATATTCCAATCAGTGTACCCTAATACACACAGTCCTCGCTAATTTCACTAGGGCCAATTTCACCCCCCTGTGTACTCATTTTTAATTTCCCCAAATTTGAGGCTTGTTTCGAATAATTTGGTTTTAAGGAAAGCAATGACTGGGACTGCGCACATGGGTCGGCGGAAAAAAAACAAGAGGCGACGAAATCGTCTTAGGGTTGCGAAGCGCTTTGCGTTTTCCAAAATTACATTCATCAATGTACATTTTCAAATTGTATGAAATGCACGAGGCAGCAATATTGATGAGTATTACTGAAGCCTTTTTAGTTGAATTCTCCACATTCAATCAATTTCATACTAGATACTTATATGCTTTGTGTTGTGGTAAAAGAGGAAATCAAACTAAATGTTGATAGTCTTACAAGAAGAATTTGGTGTTACAGATCTAAAAGAAACTGCAAAAGCGGATCTCGCGGCTCAAACATTAGCCATGGCGAGTACGAACCGGCAACCTTTGACTTACTTCGGAAGATCGAAACCACTACACCAAATCATCTGTTAACGAATGGTATCGTGTAATCCCTGATGGTGTTTTGTTTAAAAAACAACTCCCTGCCTAGGGTTTCGAGAAACTTCTTTTCCCTGGCTCTTCCAAGTTATGGTTCTAGATCTAGTCCCGCTGCTCACGCCAGTCAGGCCAGTCACGCCACCTACAGGTCCTCACGCCACTCACGCCACTCTAGATCTAGAGGTAAGCTTTGCTACCTCTTATTCTTAAGCTCACTAGACATTGTAGAATATATTTGTATAGATTCAGACGCCTTTTTTTACCAGATTTAGGTGTAACGACCTTCTTCTATTATCATCCTCTCTGTTCACGTTTTGTCTACCTTGATTTTGTTGCTTATTCTAGTTTCCTTTGCTTCTATCTCTCGCTCAGTCCGGCGTCCGTCTCTCTCCTTCATTCTTCCTTCTTTATCTTCTTCCTAACGTCGTTCTGCTGGTGCAAGTCGCGCCACCCTCAGCGTCATGCGCTTTATACGCGGAGGCAGCAGCAACGAAGGGCACGAGCATGTCGTCAGAACTTGGTGAGTTCAGATTGTGAAAGAGAGTGAGAGAGTAGTTAATAGTTCGTAAGCGAAAATACTACGGGATAAAGAATGCGGGAGAGTGACAGAGTATGAGAGCTTACTCCTTGGGTTTGTTAAGGCGAAGCCCTGCACGCGCCTGGTTTCGCGTGTAGCAGCCCTATACGGAGTAGCGAGGCTTCGCATACCGCATACCGGTTTTACCAGTATTGCGGTATTCGCCAAGTACACTCCAATCTGTGCGCTTCGTGTCAAACTTATATGCTATAGTCTGTGTAGGCTGTAGTGGGGTAGACTATATGGGGTACAACATTTCTAGGTTTTCCTACTTGTACCCACCTGCTTGCTAGTTCATTCATTCCTCATTCTTTCACATGGTATAGAGCAGGTTCCCTAGTGGGAACGCTTCCATGGGCCCACCACTGAATTCTTTTTTTTTCTGACCGGAGCGCCATTCGCTGCTGCCCGAGGCGCGCCCTGTGGGCCGCCCTTCCGTCGAGGTCCCTTAGAGGCCCCTCCCACGGCCCCCCGTGCCGCCCCTCGCGGCCCCTAGCGGCCCCGTCGCCGCCCCTACGCGGCCCCGTAGCCGCCCCTAGCGGCCCCGTCGCCGCCCCCTACGCGGCCCCGTCTGTCAAAACACTATCGAAGCGGGTAACCGGGTTTAAGGAGGGCCTAGGCTTAGTAGCCTAGGCCAAGCTATTGTCGAGGTCAAGGCCAAGGGAGTGTCGAGAGAAATTGACCAAACAAGTTAGCTTCACTAAAGCAAAGCATACAAGATATAGTCGAGAAACACAAACAAGAGGTGCACCACCAACAGCAAAGAACTATAACTACAGTAACTACAGCAAGCAGGATATATCTTAAATATAACTTTGACACACCCCCTTAGCCTGCTTGTAGTAGGAACTAGAGTAGTCAACACCCCCTGAAGGGGTATAGCTGGCGCAGTGGGAGACGGCAGAGGGGTACGTGAGGGGAGGCGGCGAGAGGGAGAGAGGAGAGGAGAGGAGATGAGGACACAGGAGGAGGTGAGTGAGTGATGAGGAGAGGAGGTGGGGGGGTGGCCGCGGCGTCCCCTCTTACTAACCCCCTTTTACGAAAGGGGGGTTGAGTGGGGGATGAGGAGAGGAGGTGGGGGGGTGGCCGCAGCGTCCCCTCTTACTAACCCCCACATCCGCACCCCCAATCAACCACCGTCCTTCAACCTCACCCCGCATTTCAGCCACCCCCTGGAACCGCACCCCCTCCCTCCCTTCCTTCCTCCACACCCCTGCCCAACCCACAGTTGTCTCTGCCCTGTCCTTCACACTGCAGCCAGCCCTCCCACCCCCCCGCTCCCGCCACCTACCCCCCACAGTAGCAGCCGCGGGAGGGGAGAGGCAGGGCAGAGGGTGGTGCTCTGCTGGCGGGGTTCTCTGCTGGCGGGGTTCTCTGCTGGCGGGGTTCTCTGCTGGCGGGGTTCTCTGCTGGCGGGGTTCTCTGCTGGCGGGGTTCTCTGCTGGCGGGGTTCTCTGCTGGCGGGGTTCTCTGCTGGCGGGGTTCTCTGCTGGCGGGGTTCTCTGCTGGTGGGGTTCTCTGCTGGTGGGGTTCTCTGCTGGCGGCTGGCCCTGGAGCTGGTGCTGGTGCTGGCGGCTGGCCCTGGAGCTGGTGCTGGTGCTGGCGGCTGGCCCTGGAGCTGGTGCTGGTGCTGGCGGCTGGCCCTGGTGCTGGTGCTGGTGCTGGCGGCTGGCCCTGGAGCTGGTGCTGGTGCTGGCGGCTGGCCCTGGTGCTGGTGCTGGTGCTGGCGGCTGGCCCTGGAGCTGGTGCTGGTGCTGGCGGCTGGCCCTGGAGCTGGTGCTGGTGCTGGCGGCTGGCCCTGGAGCTGGTGCTGGTGCTGGCGGCTGGCCCTGGAGCTGGTGCTGGTGCTGGCGGCTGGCCCTGGTGCTAGTGCTGGTGCTGGCGGCTGGCCCTGGAGCTGGTGCTGGTGCTGGCTGTGATCGCTGGTGTTCCGCCGCCACTCCCTTCCCCCTTTTCCTCTCTCTCCCCCACAGCATTCCGCCGCCACTCCCTTCCCCCTTTCCCACTCCCCCCCACAGAGTTCCGCCACCAATCCCTTCCCCTCCTCCCTCTCCCACCCACAGCGACCGCCGCTGCACACGCGAACAGTCGCGTCGGGGTGGGTGACAAGCAGGGGGCCGGGGGAGTGCGACGGGCGGAGCGAGGCGACGGGAGGGAAGAAAAATGGACGGGGGGAGGAAGGGCCGCGACGTCCGCCACGGACGCCGTCCCCTTCATTCCCGATGCCGCCCCCCCCCCTTTTCCCCACTCTAGCGCAAACTCGGCTGCAGGCGTAGGCGCGGGCAGAGGTGGTGACGGGGGGGAAAAGCGACGGGCTGACGACGAGGGAAACGCGACGGGCTGGCGACGGGGGGGACGCGACTGGCTGGCGACGGGGGAAAACGCGACAGGCTGGCGACGGGCAGGCGACGAGGGAAAAAACGACGGGCTGGCAACGAGGGAAACGCGGCCAGCTCGCCGCCGCGCCCGTCGCAGCGAGCGCCGTGCCGCGAATGGGTGGGCCCATTAACTTAGGTCAGGATTTTAATCGCTCTATACCATGTCAAAACACTATCGAAGCGGGTAACCGGGTTTAAGGAGGGCCTAGGCTTAGTAGCCTAGGCCAAGCTATTGTCGAGGTCAAGGCCAAGGGAGTGTCGAGAGAAATTGACCAAACAAGTTAGCTTCACTAAAGCAAAGCATACAAGATATAGTCGAGAAACACAAACAAGAGGTGCACCACCAACAGCAAAGAACTATAACTACAGTAACTACAGCAAGCAGGATATATCTTAAATATAACTTTGACACCGGGACCAGCAGCATTAGTAGTACCTGCAGCTCCAGCAGCACGGCTCCAGCGCCGGGCAAACCACTCGTGCGGAGAGAGTGGCTCCCGCCTCGAAGAAGTACCTCGCGAGGCCACACGAGCAGACCCAGCACCTCCAGGCTCAGCACCCCCAGACTCAGCACCCCCAGGCTCAGCACCCCCAGACTCAGCACCCCCAGGCTCAGCACCCCCAGGCTCCGCACCCCCAGGCTCAGCACCCCCAGGCTCCGCACCCCTGGCCTCAGCACCCCCAGGCTCCGCACCCTCAGGCTCAGCACCCCCAGACCCGGCACCCGCAGGCTCAGCACCTCTTGCAGCACCAGAGTCAACAGCTACCTCGACAGGCTCGACTACGTCTACCTGGGACACACCTGACGGGGCAGGACCCTGAGGGGGGAGGGGGTCTACCGGGGGAGGACCTGGCGCAAGGAAGAGCGGCGGCGGGGGGAGGGGCGCAGTGCGGTAGGGGAAGAGACGGTAGTAGGGCACCGACTCGTCAAAGGTGACGTCCTGGGAGGACAGAACACGGCGCGAGGTGGGGTG